CTCGCTATGACAATGTTGCAGTACGTTCTTCTTTTTTTAAAGATGTATTTATTTATGTAACATTTAAAGTGACCAAGAAAGAGGGTGGGGGTAAAGACAGAGAGAGAGAGGGAGAAAGAAGAGAGAGAGAGAGAGAGAGGTCTTTGATCTGCTGGTTCACTCCCCAGATGGCCCCAATGGCCAGGGCTGGGCCAGACCAAAGCCAGGAGCCAGGAACTTCATCTGGGTCTCCCCCCTGAGTGGGAGGAATTCAAGCACTTGTGCCTACATCCTGTGCCTCCCAAGACAGGAAGCTGGATCAGAAGCACAAGGCAGCTGGGACTCCAGCCAGCACTCCAAGATGGGCTTTGGCCACCCCTATCAACAGCTTGGTCCATGGCACCACATGCCCGCCTGCCCCTCCCCTCCCCCTTTTTTTTTTCAAAGAGAGAGACAGACAGTGATCTCTGTTCACTCCCCAAATACACACCATAGCCCGGGCTGGGCCAGGCTGGAGCTAGGAGCCAGGAACTCAATCTGGGTCTCCCACGTGGGTGGCAGGGACCCAACCTCACGAATCATTACCTGCTGCTTCTCAGGGTCTGTGTTCAGGAAGCTAGAGTCAGCGGAGCCCGGCCTCCCTCAAACCCAGGCTCTCTGATGTGGGTGCCGGCATCCTAAGCAGCAGCTTAACCTGCTCCGCCACAGTGCCCACCCACAGATCCATGGTTTTAAGCTCAGGCTTGGGGGCCAGCATTGCGGCATAAGCGGTTTAAGCGCCCACATGCAATGCCAGCATCCCACATGGGCACCGGTTCGTGTCCCGGCTGTTCTACTTCTGATCCAACTCCCTGCTATTGGGCGGGGGGAAATAGCAGAAGATGGACCAAATATTTGGGCCCCTGCCACCACACGGGAGACCCAGAGGAAACTCCTGGCTCCTGGCTTTGGCCTGACCCAACCCTACCTGTTGCAGCCATTTGGAGAATGAACCAGTGGATGGAAGCTCATTCTCTCTCTCGCTGACACTTTTCTTTCTCTGTAACTCTAACATTCAAATAAATAAATCCTTTAAAAAACAAAAGACTCGGGCTTGATTAGGAGTGTCACACGTCATCAGGGTGAGCGGAGAAACGTTTGGAAAATACTCACTGGCCCCTCATCCCAAAGGAGCCTCGCCTGGGGGCAGAAGAGAGGGGTGGGAAATTCAAGTTGAAAGTCAGGATTCCCGGAGAGCCAGTGACCCCAGCAGCCTCCAGGTAGGGGAACCAAGGAGCAGGGACTGGGCGGGGGTTACTTTTCACCACATCTGCTTTAAAGATCGATTCACTTATTTGAAAGGCAGAGTGACCGAGAGAGAGGGTGAGAAACAGACAGAGAGAGCGAGGTTTTCCATCTGCTGGGTCACTCCCCAGAGGGCCATGACTGGCAGAGCCAGGTCAAGCGGAAACAAGAGCCAGGAGCTGCAGCCGGGTCTCCCGCATGGGTGCAGGGGCCCAAGCACTTGGCCTTCCCAGGCCGTCAGCAGGGAGCTGGATTGGAAGCAGAACCCAGCTCTTGGGTATGGGATGCTGGCGTACCAAGCGGCAGCTTAACCCGCTGTGCCACAATGCCTGCCTCCCACCATCTCTCTTTCTAAAACTTGGACAATGCGGATGTATCATCTACAATCAAGAATTAAAAAAAAACTTAGAGCCTCCCCATAAGCCCCAGAGACCCCAGCACCAGCCTCCTGCACCCCATCCCACGGGGCCTGAGGCCACAGGGGCAGGGCAGGGCGTGGTGCCGAGCTTCCCCCTGGACTCAGAAGTGGGCCAGCATGAACCCTAGGCTGCCTCCAGCAGTGTCCCCTCCCCCAGCCACCTCCTGGAGACGTGTCCCAGCTCTGTGGTGTCACTTCCCGCAGGGCACCACCGCGCTGGGTCTGGGGTCCAAACCGAGTGTGGATTTCCCCTGCTGTCCGTCCTGGCAGTGACTGCAGGGTGGGAGCCCCGCCCACACTGCGGCTGGCCAGCCGGCCTGGTGGTCTGAGGCGGGGAACAGTGCGGGCAGCTCTCAAGGGCCTGCTCCGCCCTCACCCAGTGCAGCAGCCGGGCAGGAGGACGGGTGGAGCCCGAGCTGCGGCTGAGTCAGCGCTGCAGCCACCCAGCCGGGTCACCGCCGTGGGTGGGGTGCCAGCCTGGGCCCGCTGGGCTCCCAGGGAATTCCTTCCCCATGCCATAAGCTGCCCTGGGCGGGCACCCCAACCACAGCCACCATCTAGCCTCAGCCAGGGAGACTGTGTCGGGCTGCCTGCCCTGGGAGCCTGTGTACGCACACACACTGTCACCCATAGACTCACACGTGCACACTGTCACCATATGTATACACACATACACACTGTCACCACACACACACTGTCATCCATACACAAACACACAGATAGTCACCACTCACACACTGTCACCATATGTATACACACATACACACTGTCACCACACACACAGTGTCATCCGTACACACACAGTTACCACACACACACACACTGTCACCATATGTATACACATATACACACTGTCACCACACACACACTGTCACCCATACACAAACACACACACAGTCACCACACACACACTGTCACCATACACACACATAGTTACCCATATACTCACACATGCACAATGTCACCATACACACACACTGTCACCCATACATATGCACACACACACACTGTCACCATACACTCAGACACACAGGGTCACCAATACACACACACACACTGTCACCCATATACTCACACATACACAGTCACCGATACATATACACTGTCACCACATACACTCCCCCATTCTGTCAACACTCACACACAGCCACTCACATACAGTCTCCACACACTTACACACAGTCACCCATACACTCATACACACATTGTCACCCATGTACACTCAGAACACGGTCACCCCCACACTGTCACCACACACACACTGTCACCCATACACTCACACACACATTGTCATCACATACACTCACAACATGGTCACCCCCACACTCAGTCACCATCCTCTCATAGTCACCCATACACTCACACACACATTGTCATCATATACACTCACAACACGGTCACCCCCACACTCAGTCACCATCCCCTCATAGTCACCCATACACTCACACACTGAGCCCTTCTTGGAGAGAAGCCCCCAGTTCTGAGTCCTCAGCCCGAGGGGCTTCTAGCCCAGGTCCTCCCAGGCTGTGGGGCCATCCCGGGGTGTCCCCTCCGCCTCTCCCCAGAGGTGCTGGCTGGCAGGTCCCAGAGCAGGCGCTGGAGCAGGCCGTGGAGTCCTGGCTCGGACATTCCCCGAGCAGGCTGCAGAAGCTCCCAGGCTCCCTGCAGAATCAGAACGTAGAGCTGCAGCAGTCAGGCCCTGGCGGGAGACTGGCAGACCCCCAGCGGGGGGACAGACTGACGGCCAGACGTGTGAGCAGGAAGCACCAATGCAGGGTGCAGTGCCCTGAGCTGGCAGCAGCAGGGAGCCCTCCAGGCAGAAACCCGGCCACCTGCTGCCTGGGCTGCAGCACCCCACCTCCCTCTCCTCCTGCCCCCAAGCTCTCATCTGCACCTCCCGTTGGAGGCCAGAATACAAGGCAGCTGCAGGCTGGAGAGACCAGCCTCCCAGGCCACAGAGCTGGTGCAGAAGACTCAGCCGGGGAGGGCAAATAGGATGCCCAGCGTAACTGAGAATTGGGGTTTTTTTTAGATTTATTTATTTATGTATTTGAAATTCAGACTTACAAGGAGAGAGAGAGCTATCTTCCATCTGCTGGTTCACTCCCCAAATGTGTGCAACAGTCAAGGCTGGGCCAGGCCAAAGCCAGGAGCCAGGAGGTTCATCAGGGTCTCCTACATAGGTGCAGGGGCCCAAGCACTTGGGCCATCTTCTTTTGCTTTCCCAGGTGCATTAGCAGTGAGCTGGATTGGAAGTGGAGCAGCTGGGACTCGAACCAGCGCCAATATGGGATGCCGGCACTGCAGGCGGCGGCTTTACCTGCTATGCCACAGCACAAGTCCCAGGAGGAGCTTTTTCACTCAAGCCATCACCTGCTGTCTCCTAGCGTCTGTGTTAGCAGGAAACCTGGATCCAGAGTCAGAGCTGAGCACAGAAGCCAGGTACTCCCACGTGGGATGTGGCCATCTTAATCACTAGCCTGACACTCACCCCAAGTGGCATTTTTTAAAGATTTATTTATTTTACTTGAAAGTCAGAGTTACACAGAGAGAGGAGAGCCAGAGAGAGAGAGAGAGAGAGAGAGAGGTCTTCCATCCGCTAGTTCACTCCCCAATTGGCCACAACAGCTGGAGCTGTGCTAATCCGAAGCTAGGGGCCAGGAGCTTCTTTTGGGTCTCCCACGTGGGTGCAGTGGCCCAAGCACTTGGGCCATCTTCTACTGCTCTCCCAGGTCATAGCAGAGAGCTGGATTGAAAGTGGAGCAGCCAGGACTCGAACTGGAGCCCATATAGGATGCTGGCACTGCAGGCGTCACTTTACCTGCTATGCCACAGCGCCAACCACCCCCGCCAAGTGACATTTTAAAAAAATGTTTGCTTGTTTGTGTTTGAAAGAGCCACAGAGAACGAGCTATCTGCTGATTCACTCCACAAATGCCCGGAACCAGCTCTCCGGCCTTTTGGGTGCTCTTGCCATAGTGTAAATGAAAGATCTCCTCAAGACCCGGTGGGTGGAGTGGGGCCGGCGCTGTGGCACAGTAGGTTAATCCTCTGCTCAGGGCGCCGGCATCCCATATGAGCGCCAGTTCTAGTCCTGGCTGCTCCACTTCTGATCCAGCTCTCTGCTATGGCCTGGGAAAGCAGTGGAAGATGGCCCAAGTTCTTGGGTCCCTGCACCCACATGGGAGACCCAGAGGAAGCTCCTGGCTCCTGACTTCAGATCGGCACAGCTCTGGCCGTTGCAGCCATTTGGGGAGTGAACCAATGGAGGGAAGACCTTTCTCTCTGTCTCTCACTGTCTGTAACTCTACCTCTCAAATAAATAAATAAAATATTTAAAAAAAAAAAAAGACGGGGCAGCAGCACCCCAGCCAGGGCCGTGGCCGCCACGGTGCGCAGCAGGTGGCCAGCGATGCGGTCTCCCCGTGCTCTGCGGTGCCGTCCCACGCCGGATGCACAGTGATCAGAAGCAGATTTGCACTGGGGAAGGGATGGAGCTAAGGAAATGGCCTCCTTGGCAACATCCGTGGTGTTTCATTATTCTGAACTCCTTGGAGTCACTTTCTTGTTTTGTTTTGTTTAAAGATTTATTTATTGGAAAGGCAGAGTGACAGAGAGTAAAGGAGAGATGGTGAGAGATCTTCCATCTGCTGGTTCTCTCTCCAAATGCCTGCAACGGCCAGGGCTGGGCCAGGCTGAGGCCAGGAGCCTGAAACTCCATCCGGGTCTCCCACGTGGGTGGAAGGGGTCCAAGCACTCGAGCCATCTTCCGCTGCCTCCCAGGAAGCTGGAATCGGGAACGGAATAGACGGATATGGGATGTGGGCATTCCAAGTGGTAGCTTAACTGACTGCACAACAAATCCCACCCCTAAGGGACTATGTTTAAAGCTCACAGCCAGTAAATATTCTCTGTAGTTGTCATTGCCTCATTCTAAGGATTCTGAAAAAAACAGAAGTCCTTACCGATCCAAAGAAATTGCAATCCAACAGTGCAATTTCATTTTACATGGACGACCAAGGATGGGCTAAGGTTTCATCAGGGACTCCACAAATCAGCCCTCCAAGCCCCCTCCCCAGATGAAGACCCGGCTGTTGCAGCCACTGGGCAGGAGCAGAGTTCTGGGGGCCGAGCTGAGCTGCCAACCCATCCCCGAGTTCTGAGTCTGAGCCAAGCAGGGGTGTGATTCTGGTGGGAGCTGGTCATGAGCCCCGCCGGCCTCTGAGGTCCCCCATCCCGACACCTGGGTCAGTGTCTTGGCAGGAGCTCCTGGGGGGTGGGCAGCCACTGTGGGTGGAGGGCAGCTTCAGCCTGGGATGCTGGGGGAGGGGGAGGGCACAGAAAACTCTCCTGGGAGCAGGGCCAGGCAGGAGCAGGCATGGACCGACAGGAGACCAGAAGGATGACGTCACACCCACCTGGGCTGGGCCCCTGGAGCCAGGCCTTGCCCCAGGCTGCCCGAGGAGCAGCCGGGGGTTCACGTGCACACACGCACAGCTCCCACGCCAGCTCTTCAGCCTCTGTTTCTGGATCCTTGAGAAGAAAGAGGCCCTGCATGGAGGGGAGGGCCATGCCCTCGCGAGCGGACAGGCAGGGGTCACGGCTGAGGCGCTCTGGGTAGGCAAGGAGAGAAAGGCCTGCTGTTCTGCCCAGGAGAGGAGCAGACACTGGAGCCCTTGTCCCGGCCGCGGGGGAGGCTGCTGGCCGGCCAGATGGAGAGCAGCCGGCGTGGCCTGAGTGAGCAGCCTCTGCCTCCCACACCCCCAGCTCCCGAGCCTGCTGTCCACAGCAGGACAGAGGAGGCCTTGCTGGGGCCCCGGGAGCGCCTACCCCAGCAGACACCAGAACCACCAGGACATCGGGGTGCCCGGAAGCGGGGTGCCTGGAAGCGCCTCTGCGAGCCGAGCCAGGCACCGCCTTTCCTGAGCCCCAGATGCTCCAGGCCTAGGCTTGCTTTGGGGGTGCAGGGAACACACCCAGGGGCAAAAAGTCCAGTGAGGTGGGCCGCATTCAACCACTCGGCAAACATGTACCAAACCTGTGCCATGCGCCAGCTGCCATACAAGAGCCTAGAGTACCACTGTGAGCGCAGGTACCCACGGTCAAGTTCAGATGCAGGGTTTTTTGTTTTTGTTTTTGTTTTTGTTTTTGTTTTTAAGATTTATTTATTTATTTGGAAGGCAGAGTTACAGAGAGGCAGGGCCAGAGAGAGAGAGAGAGAAAGACAGAGGTCTTCCATCCACTGGTTCACTCCCCAAATGGCCACAACGGCTGGAGCTGTGCTGATCTGAAGCCAGGAGCCGGGAGCTTCTTCTGGGTCTCCCAGGTGGGCGCAGAGGCCCAAGGACTAGGGCCATCTTCCACTGCTTTCCCAGGAGCACTAGCAGGGAGCTAGATCAGAAGCCGAGCAGCTGGGACTCGAACCGGTGCCCATATGGGATGCCGGCACTGCAGGTGATGGCTTTACCCACTCCACCACAGCGCCAGCTGCAGATGCAGGTTTGAATCACTTGCCAAAATTATACCGCAATCTTGCCAGTGGCTGTGCAGAGTGGGGACACAGGACTGGCCCTCACCAGGGAGGCTGAGGCAGGGGATGATTGGGGGGGACGCAAGAGGGCTTCCCTGGGGAGGTGGCACTTGAACTAACGTTGCAGGCAGAGGGCAAGGGAAGTGCAAAGGCCCTTTGCAGGAAGGACCACGTGAACGCCTGTACACCAGAGAGCAGCAGGCCCTGCGGCTGTAGTGGAGCAAGAGGCCCCCCGGGGTGAGAGAGGCCGAGGCCCAGGCCCAGGCCCAGGGGGACTTCCTGCAACAGGCAGGGATCTGGTCTGTGTCTTTCCCAGGGCTTCTGCCAGGGAGGGGCTGCTTGCAGGGCTGGGCGCAGGGCCGGGAGGCAGAAATGGGGAGGAGTGGGCAGAACCGGCAACAAAGACCAAGGGACAGTGAGAATGAGGCTGGCCTTCCTGCCTCCAGGTCTCCCAGCCCGAGGGGCGGGGGTTGGGGTGGGAATGTCACAGCACGGGGGGAGGAGGTGGTCTCTGGCCTCTCCCTACGCCCCTCTCCTCTCCCAGCCTCCCGGGAGCACACAGTGGGCCACCTGGTTCACAAGAGTGTCCTGGGTCCGCTGTGGTGGGGCTGCTCCCTTCTGGAACCCAGGGCCAGCAGGGAGCCTGCTGATGAGCTTGGCAGGCAGCTGCCCTCCCCTCCTCCCCCCTCCTGTCCCCCCTCCCACCCTCCTCCTCCTCGCTCTGACCCTCACCCAAGGCAGGGTGGGACTCCCGGGAGAGAAATTACACAGAAAGCTCCCACCTGCACTTTCAAACTCAGATTCCTCTTCTTTCTAATACACTATTTTTTTTTTAGCAATTTTTGAAAAATTGAGCAAATAATACAGAGACCTACACAATCCCCCTGCCCTCTCCCAGTTTCCCACATTGAGGGAGGCTCATTTTTTAGGATGGATGAACCAAGACCAGCATATTATCAACTACTATTAAGTAATGATTTTTTTTTTTTTGACAGGCAGAGTAGACAGTGAGAGAGAGAGAGAGACAGAGAGAAAGGTCTTCCTTTTGCCGTTGGTTCACCCTCCAATGGCCGCCGCGGCCAGGTGCTTCTGGTCTCCCATGGGGTGCAGGGCCCAACGACTTGGGCCATCCTCCACTGCACTCCCTGGCCACAGCAGAGAGTTGGCCTGGAAGAGGGGCAACCGGGACAGAATCCGGCACCCCAACCAGGACTAGAACCCGGCGTGTGTGCCGGCGCCACTAGGCGGAGGATTAGCCTGTTGAGCCGCGGCGCCGGCCCGAATTATTGTTAATTCAAGCCCACAGTTTACGCCAGGGCTCACTCTGCATTGTACCATTCCCTGGGTCTTGTTTCATTTTCTATGTATTTATTGGAGAGACAGAGGGGGGTGTACTGCAGGCACCAAGTCACCTCCGGATCCAAGTCTCTAAGCCAGGGCCGGGAGCCCACTGCCGCCTCCCTGGGTCTGCATGGCAGGCAGCTGGAGCCAGGAGCCAGAGCCGGGGTTGGAGAACCCAGGCCCTCCGACGCAGGGTGTGGGCATCTGAGCCATGGACCCTGCACCTGCCCCGTCCCATGGGTTCTGAGGCAGGCATGATGGCAGGCGCCCGCCACGGCCTACACTGTCACGGGAAGGGCTTCACCGTGCCAGGAGCGCGACTGTACAGCGGGCTCCCGCCCAGGGCCCTCTGGCAGCCCCTGGACTGCTTCTCACCCTCCCCGGGAAGGTGGGCACCCCAGAGGAGGAAGTCAGAGCTCAGAGTGGGAGACAATCCCAGGAGGCACCAGCTGGCAAAGCTGTGCAGGGCGGCTTGAGATGGTGCCACCAGCAACTGGCCGCCAGACGGGCAGCCGAGGGGGAGGGCGGGAGTTCCCCGCGCCGACTCCCGCCCTCCCTGGTTGAAGGCAATGGAGCGAGTCGGTCTCCCTGTGGGGCGGGGCATCCCCTAAGGCTTCCGCCACCCCACAGCAGGCACCTGCTGGGCACCGGCCCTGTGCTGGGCCCTTTTGCGCGGCAGCATCAGACAGAAGAGCCGAGAACCTCAGGGTCCCAGGAAGGGGGCATCGTGGTGGGAGGGCCCAGGGGTCAGCCTCCGCGCAGCTGAAGGACACGGTGCAGCCTCAACAAGTACTGTCCACACTCAGGCCAAGTCCAAGGCTGAACCAGGCCGGAAGGCCGGGCACCGTCAGGCCTCTCTTCTCTCTCCCTGTGGAGCAGCAAAGCAGGGGTGGGTGGGGAGCACAGGGATCCCCCCTCCCCGCCTTCACTAGCTCCAAGCCCCCAGCCCCCTGCAGGCCCTTGACAAAGGCTGGCTGAGCCAGCCCAGGGAGCTCCTTCCAAGACTGGTGAAGCCTTCATTCTTACATTCTGTATCCAAATGCAGCCCCTCCCAGAATATCCCTGTGTGGTCCAGGATTGGCTGGGGGCGCAGAGAGGGAGGTGACCCAAGGCAAGGCGCTGCACTCGGAGGGGATTCAGAACTCCAACACCCACAGCCCACCCCTAGGTGGTGCTATGGCTGCATCAGTGCGCTGGGTCTTAACATCTCAGTCCCCATTTCACAGACAGGGAAACCGAGGCGCACAGAGTTGATGGGACTTGCTGGCAACAAAACAGCTGATGGATCCCTCCTACTCTTCAGGGAGCTAACGGGCTGCTGAGGGCCGCACAGCTGGGCGAGCACCCTCGTGTCTCACACAGGGACGTGAGGGGATTGGCTCGATGCTGCAGGTTACTAAGTGACAGAGCTGGGACTCAGCCGGGCTCTGCCTGACCCTGGAGCCTGCAGGCTCTGCTACAGGCAGAGGATCGGGGAGAACCTTGCCCACCGGGAGTTCAGCAAAGGCAGAGCAACCCCGCCGAGCCGGGTCCTTGGCCCTCACGGACCCCGGCCCGCTGACCCCGCCTCACTCGCAGCTCCCGTCATGCTGAGCTGCGCCGGCCGCCACACGCTGTGGACCACACGCAGGTCCCAGCAGGCCTGGTTCCAGCAAGCTCTCCCTTTGCCCTCAGACAAAATGCACACAGGAGGAGAGGTGGGACTCAGGTGTGGGGAGTGGAAATGGGGGCTGGGTGACCGGGCAGCAGCGTGGGTCTCTAAGATAGCAACTTGCGGGGTGGGGGGAGGGGAGGGCACTGTTGCGAAGCGAGTAAAGCCCTGGCCAGCAGCGCCAGCATCCGGCCTGGGCACTGTGGGGAGCAACTCGGACTAGACTGTTACTGGAATTAAGACTTATTCTATGCATCTGCTCTCCCACAATATGGCGCTGGGAGAGGAGGAAACAGCTTCTACACAGCTGCCTCCAGTTCAACCAATAAACTGTAGGACCTGCTCCTGATTGGAGGAGAGCAGCGTGCTCGGCGTGTGGGTAGCAGAGTTGCGTGCTCGGCGTGTGGGTAGCAGAGTTGGGATTGGTGGAAGAGGACTATAAAGGAGGAGAGAGACAACATGCACCAGGAACATCTATCTGAAGGAACACCTGTGCAGCCCCCGAGAGAGCCGGCCGGCGGTGTGCCGCTCCCCCGCGGAAGTGGGGAAAGTGGCAGGGGAACCGCCCTTCCACGGAGGTGGAAGGGACGGTAGCCAACCTGGGAAGAACCAGCAGCAAACCCGGGGAGGGCCGAGCAGGCAAAAGAACAGCGCAGGGTCCTGTGTCGTTCCTCCACGAAGACGGGGAGCGACAGTGCACCAGTTTAAGTCCTGGCTGCTCCACTTCTGATCCAGCTCTCTGCTATGGCCTGGGAAAGCAGTAGAAGATGGCCCAAGTGCTTGGGCCCCTGCACCCATGTGGGAGACTCAGAAGAAGCTCCTGGCTCCTGGCTTCAGATCGGTCCAGCTCCAGCTGTTGTGGCCATCTGGGGAGTGAACCAGTGGATGCAAGACCTCTTTCGCTCTGCCTCTGCCTCTCTGTAACTGCCTTTCAAACAAATACATCTTAAAAAGAAAAAAAAAAAAAAAAGAAAGAAAGAGCAACCTCCCAGCTGCCCAGGTAAAACCCTAGCCCCAGGCCCCAGGCTCCAGACGCACCAAGTTCTCCCCTCGGGGCCTGGTGCTGGGAGCAGGGGCTGGAAGGCTGCCTCTGGACCACCTCAGACCCCCGAGCAAGGTCCACACCAACAGCTCACACTGTTCCCATTCATGTCAATGATAATCGGCATCGATCGAACACTTACCACAGGTACTTTATGTTTCTATCAGCTCTCAGTCCCCAAAGGGCCCATGCCCACTTGACAGATGAGAAAACTGAGGCCCAAGGCCCTTCCCAGGACTCTCCATCTCTCCAGCAGGTGCTCCTGCTTCAGGCTCGGGGCCAGCTACAATCCCCGCCCCCATCCCGCCAGCCTTCCCCAGTCACAGGCACCTGCTAGGACGCCCGGTTCCGTCGCTATCCTGCCAACACTGTCTATGCAGCCTGTCTGTGCAGATTGGGAGCAGGCGTCACAGTCACAGAGACCAGTCTAGCAGTACAAAAGGAACACTGGGAACATCTCCCTCCCCCAGCCCAGGGGCTCCCTCTGTCCCCAGAGGCCTCCCATGGCCAGCCCCTCCCTGTACTGGTCACTATCTCTACTATTGAGTCCAGCCCTAGCCATACGCCAGGCCTCAGCTTACCGAGGCGCTGAGCCCTAGGGACAGGCTTATCCTGTCCCCAACCAGCTCCAGCCCTGTTCAGTCACCAGACTGGGGGCAGGAGGCCAGGCCGCGGAGACACGAAGTGCCAGGGGCTGAGGGCAGGGCCCGGCCAGGGGCCAGCCTGGGCACAGAGGCGGGCGCCAGGAACACCTTGGTCCTGGCCAACCAGCAGGCGCTGGTGCGGAGGTGTCGCCCGGCGGCTCGCCGAGAAGGCGCTGGGCGTGAGGGGCCAGGGAGCACTTCCTGTTTCCCTGCCCACTCCCCATGGCCAAGGAGCCAGCTGCGGGCTTTGGATCCAGTCCAGAGGGGCGCAGCCTGGGGGGACGTGGCAGGCAGGGCACTGAGGGAGGCCTGGGCAGGCCTTTGGGAAAACATTCCAGTTCCTACTGCCACCCAGCGAATTAGCCAAAGCAGCAGCGCGGACCCATTTGATTTTGTTCAAAGCATTGTGGGCCAGGAATTCGGGAAGGGCCCGACGGGGCGGTTCTCGCTGGTGGTAGTGAGGTGGGGGGAAGGGGTGGGGGGTGCTGCCGTGTGACTGCAGTCAGATGTTGGCTCCACCGGCTGGATGTGCACCATGGTTCCCGGCCACGGCTGCCAGGGGGCGCTGTGGGGGCTGCCTCTCCAGCCTCCCAATCATGGGGTCCTTGGCTGCCCTCCATGGAGGCTGGCTCAGCCCAGAGCAAGAGTCCTGAGAAGCAGGGGGAAACCATGTGGCTTTTAGGATTTTGCCTCCACGATGCCAAAACGTGACTTCAGGGACCACAAGGCGGGGCCCTGGAGGACGGCACGAGGCCTTAGGTCAGCACCCATGGTCCAGACCCCAGGACCGCGGACCAAGGAGCACAGGGCCCTTCCTGTCCATCGGCGACAGTGCAGGCTGCAGCAGGCAAGGGATGTGCAGGACGCTTGGAGTGAGCCAGCCTCCGCGTGGCAAGGCTGGGGACCCTGAGACAGGCAAGCTGGAGAGGCCACGGGGGTCAGTCCCAGCCCACAGGGCCGCGCCACCTGGCAGGGAGGAGGCCCGGGGCGGGGGGGGGGGGGGGGGGCAGGAATTGTTGGGAACCCAGGTTCCGAAAATTAATTGCAGGCAATCAAAATTGCCCGGTTTTTAGGCACCTGCTCCCCTTGGGAAAAAGGGAGGAGGGACCTCTGGGGAGGGGGTCAGGAAAGGGGTGCGTGGGGGGTGGGGGAGCTTGTGCTCAGGCCCCCTTTAAAACATGGGGGGGCTTTTATTCCCCTGTTCTGGGTGCCCCAAAAGTGGCCTAAACCCACACCCTCGGAGCCCCAAAGCCCCTGGGGAATTTGGGGGAGCGGCACGCCCCTGAAAAGATGGCTCCTCGGGGAGGGAAATTTTTTTTTAACCTGTGTGGATGGGGCTGCAATGTCGGCAAGTAAACGAAGCAAGACGCCGCCTGCACGGGCATCCCCGGGGTGGGGTGGCGGACAGATCCCCTCCCCGGGGGAAGTTTCTGGTGCAGGCAGATGAGCTAGCCTCTGTGCCCCACCCCGGACCCTGCAGGCAGGCCCCTGGCCCTTCTCAAGGGTCCCCTCGGCCCACGCCCCCCCCCCTTTGTTTCCACAATCCCACCTTCTCTGCAAGCGAAGCTGCTGCCTGGGACAGCTGCAGCCCCCGTCGGAGCACCTGGGCCCCCAGCGGCCGGAGGTGGCTCAAGTAGTCGGAGGCCTGCTGCCCACGTGGGAGACCGGCATTGAGTTCTGGCCATCTGGGGCGTGAACCAGCTGCTGGCAGATCTGCTCCTCTGCTTCTGTCTCTCCACCTTTCAAATAAGGGAAAAAGAAGAAGAGAAGACAACGGCCAAGATTAAGCGGCTGCCTGCAGCGCCAGCATCCCATCTTAGCACGGTTCATGTCCCCGCTGCTCCACTTCTGATCCAGCTTCCTGCTAATGCGCCTGGGAAAGCGGCAGAAGATGGCCCAGGTCCTCGGGGCCCCCGCACCCACGTGGGAGACCCGGCTGGAGTTCCAGGCTTCTGGCTTTGGCTTGGGGCAATCACTGCAGCTGTCTGGGGAGTGAACCAGTGGGTAGATGACCTTTCTCTCTCTGTCTCTGCCTCTGCCTCTGTAACTCCACCTCTCAAATATATCAATAAATCTTTAAGAAGAAGAGAAGGAGGAGGAGGAGGAGGAGAGGTGGTGGGTCAGGGAGGCTCCTAGAGGCAGAGTCACCACAGAGCAGGAACAGCAGGTGCAAAGGCCCTGAGGCAGAAGTGCAAGAACAGCAAATAGCCAGTGTGGACGCAGCACAGGCCCCACGCAGGAGATGGAACAGAAGATACAGAGGGACTCGGCTGAGCTGCAGCAAACGGCCACACAGCTTCAGTGACTCCCCCAGAGCTGTCACACCCTGGGGACCCGAAGACCCCGCTTCACAGAAACCCCAGTGTTATAGCTCCAAGGGCTCAGGCTGAGATGCACTCTGCCGCCCGCGCCCACCGGCTTTTCTTTTGGTTTCTCTCTACTGCGGTGTTTCTCAACCTCAGAGCAAGCTTGTTCTTTGTGGTGTCAGAGTGGGGGTGGGACGGCCTGGGCTCACTGGACGCCAGCAGCACCCCCTCCCCAACCTGTGACACCAAACATGGCTCCCAGGGGTCCAGATGGCCCCCAGTTGAGAACCACCCCTTCGGCCACTGCCCCCCCCATGGCAGCCACGGTGACTGCCTCCAGGCTGAGGCCCTGCCCCTGCACCCCACCATGCACATAGTGCCCGCCCCTCCCTGCGTTAGAGCCCTCCAGGGCTCCCACTGCCCCAGGCCAGCTGCTGAACCACTCCTGACTGGCCCACTCGGACTTCTGAAATCTGGCCCCTGGCCAACTCTTGGACTCACCCGCCCCTGTCCCTGAGCACCTGCTCCTAATAGGACCACACCCTGTACCCGCCACCAAGAGGCCGCTCCTACCCCACCCACCAGGGCCTGCCTTCCCCCTAGCGTGGGGGACAGCAAGTGAACACGCATGGATCACAGCGCGCAGCAGGTGGCTGGATGGGGAGGGGTTAGCGAGGGAGAGTGGGGTGAGGGCCCCCCTACAACATGCAGACAGTGGGCGGGGTGTGAAGACTGGGAAGCTGCGGGAATGACTGGGGGTGCCCGCAAAGGCGTGGAGGGCAGGGCTGGGACGGGGAGGGATGGCGGAGGCCAAGGGCTCCACGCAAACCTGCCCGCTAAGCAAGGGGACCGGCGGGAGGTGCACGGTGGCTGGGGCTTGGTGCCCAGGGGACACGTCCCGGCACACGCAGCGCCCAGGCAGGCAAGCTCTTCTCCCAGCCACCGGTCAGATCCCGCCTCACCCACGTGGCCTCCTCAGACATAATGGAGGTCTCCCTGCAGGAATGCTCCCCTCCTTCCTCTGGCTCTTCCTGCATCCCCTGGGACGCCTGAGGGCGGGGGGCGTCTCCACCGAAGGTCTACCCGGACGTAACTCAGCGGGCCGCCCCGGAAGGCGCCCACGCTGCGCACTCCCGACCTAGCCCAGCCCAGCCGGAGGAGCCTCAAGTGGCCCGGGTTGTCGCGCGCACTTGCTGCACCCTGGTGCGCACACACCCGGCGCCAGCCGCCCGTATCGCCCTCCCGCCGCGGGCGCCCACGCGTGACCCGCGCCTCCACGGGTCCTTCCGGCCTCCACGCCCGGCCGCTGCCCCACCCTCTGGCTGGGGGCGGGAGGACCCACCCGAGAGGGCCCACCCAGGAGGCACCGGCTCCCCCCGGGCGCGGAAGCGCGGGGCAAGGCGCGCCCCCTGGTGGTGGAGCAGCCGCGGGGCCCGGCTTCCTGCTTCTGGCCTCTCTTCCCTACTCAGCAACAGAAGGAAGCTTTAAATTTACCATATTTACCATTTTTAAGTTTTTACTAAAGATTTTTATTTATTTATTTGAAAGGCGGGGTTACAGAGAGAGAGAGAGAGAGAGAGAGAGAGAGGTCTCCATGCACTGGTTCACTCCCCAAATGGCCGCAACGGCTGGAGCCATGTTGATCTGAAGCCAGAAGCCAGGAGCCAGGAGCTTCTTCCGGGTCTCCCACGAGGGTGCAGGGTCCCAAGGACTTGGACCATCTCCCGCTGTTTTCCCAGGTGCATTAGCAGGGAACTGGATCAGAAGTGGAGGATCCGGGACTCGAACCGGCACCCTTATGTGAGGCCGGTGCCACAGTGGGGCTCGAGGGAAGCTTTAGAGATGTGAACCACATCAGCTCACTCTACCCGGAGGAAAGAAACTCAGGACCCCTGCGTAGCTCACATGCCGCCCCTCTCTTCCTTCCCGACCTCGCTCTCCATCCATCACGCGGGTCCCCTTCCTCTTCTCCTGCCTCAGGGCCTTTGCACATGCTGTTCCCCCAGAGGCCTCTGTGGCTCGCGCCCGCATTTCCTGCAGCCCCTGCCTGTGCATGGCCTCCCTGGCCAGACTGTCCAGTGCCATCGCTCTGTCTGCACAGCCTCATCTTTCCTGCAGGCCACCACTGAGTCCCCAGACTAGGCTCAGAATGACCCTGGAGTCTGCCTTTGTTGCCGGTGTCCCCCACGCTTACAGAGAGAGGTCAGAGACAGGAGAGGCGACATCCACAGAGAGACGGAGGAAGCCGGGGAGAAGAAAGCTGGCCGGTGCGTGACCCGGAGAGGCGTGGCAAGCCTGCCCCCAGCAGCCCACGGGCCCGAGGATCAGCACCACCATCCCAACTGGCTGCTGTGGACAACTTAGAAAAGGCAGCCCCCCGTGGGCAGAACCTGTGCCGGGGATGGCGGCCGGGCCAGCTGAGCCTGGCAGCCCCCAGCGGCACACACCTCTGGCCCGGCAGCCAAGCACCCCAGCGCCGGCACGCCCGAGAGGGAAGGCAGCTGTGGCAGCCACGCTGCCCTTAGACCAGGGCCTTTGCGAGGGCCTGGGCTCTTCTAGAGCCTGACCCCAGCTCGGCGCTCACCCACAGGACCCCCCACACACAGTGTCGCCCCTGCCTCCGCTACCCAAGACTGTTTAGCCAGGCCTGAGTGGGAAGCCAGCGGGACCCTGGGGTTGGGAGGGGCGCTCGCACCTGTGCCTGTGCACACACACACCCCACTTCCAGAACTGAGTGTTTCCCCCTGGGCTCCGGAGCTCCCAGCGAGCCCCCAGGCTGCTCTCCACCCCACCACCACCCCCGCCAAGAGCAGCCACTCCGCCAGGCCGGAGGAAATGATTAGCCGGGCAGTGAGGGCTCAGGTGAGTCATATGGTCACAAGGCTGTGTCCTGGCTGACTCAGAGGGACGTCCAGATGGGCCCTTCCACCAGCTCGCAGGCTCTGAGTCAGGGACTCCATGGCCCCGGGGCCAGGAAGCCCAGGACACAGTCCCAGCCCACCCAGGAACCCCTAAGGTTCTGCAAGCTCCCCTGCCCCCCACAGGCCGGGCTGGGCCACCCTCCCCACCCCCTCTCCCTCCCCCACTGCCTACTGCTGTCAGCAATGGATTCTGTGGCCATCGCCTCAGGCTGGACACAGTGTAAACTCCCTGGGGGACTCAACCCAGCTTCCATGGAGAGCACTGAGCAGGGCGGTGGGGGGAGCGGGGGGCTGTCTTTCTCATAGGTATGCTTGGGGGCTCAGAGCCCAGGCCCAGGCAGAAGGGAAGAAACTGTGCCCCTCTTCCCCCAGGACTCCCTCTCCTGCTCCAGATCTGCAGGACCTCCTGGTGAACAGCGCCTCCTGGTGGCCAAAGTGGACCTGGCTTTCCTGCCCTGCTGATCACCAGGCACCACCCATCAGGGCCTCTAAGGGCCCCATCCTGTGACCCTCCGCACCCCACCCCACCCCACCGTGACCTCTGGAGTCAAGCAGCACTGGGGCCCCAGATGTCTGCACCTGTCCTGAAGTCACACAGCCTCTCTTGAAAAAAAAAAAAAAGATTTATATAGGGGCCGGTGCTGTGGTGTAGTGGGTAAAGCAGCCACCTGCAGTGCCAGCATCCCATATGGACCCCAATTTGAGTCTCAGCTGCTCCATTTCCAATCCAGCTCTCTGCTATGGCCTAGGGTAGCAGTAGAAGATTGCACCTGTGTGGAAGACCCAGAAGAAGCTCCTGGCTCCTGGCTTCAGATTGACCCAGCTCCAGCTATTGCGGCCATTTGAGGAATATACCAAGAAATGGAAGGACCCCCCCCCCACCTCTCTATAACTGCGTTTCAAATAAATAAATTTTTTTAAGTATGTATTTATTTGAAAGGCAGAGATACAGGGAGAGACAGAGATCTTCCATCCACTGGTTCACTCCACAAATGGCCACAACAGGCGGATCTGGGCCAGGTCAAAGCCTGGAGTCAGGAGCTTCATCTGGGTCTCCCATGTGGGTGGCAGGGTCCCAAGCTCTTGGGTCATCTTTTACTGTTTTTCCAGAGCCTTGGCCAAAGTCAGAGCAGGTTTATTAGGACATCACAGGCCTGAGCGTGCTGGTGGGGACGGCTCGCCCTGCACACACACCCAAGCACCCCCCCCCAGCCTTGGATGAACCCCGGGAAGAGAAGTGCGCGTCTCGGCAGGTTCCAGAGAGCTGGGGCCAGGAGGTGGGGCTGGCCCACTTCACTAGAGAAGGCAATCTCCCATCTCGTCCACCTCCTTGGAGAGCGGTGCTGGGGGCGGACAGGGAGGGAAGGGTGGAGTCTCGGCTCCCGCCCCCCCAGGGGCCACCTTTTCCAGCCTCTCCCCCTCCACAGCTGGCCCAGCCCCACCAGCTGGGAGCCACTTCCTTCCCAGGACATGGGGGACCCTCTCCCCTCCTGGAAGCCCCAGGAGCCGGGCTCCCCAGCCACACCGCCCCTCCCTCACCTCTGTCCTGAGCACCACAGCAAGCCCCCTTCTCTACAGCCTCGGCGCCACCCCTCCCCCAAGTCCCCAGCACAACCCAAAGGCTGGGGGGAGCGGCTTCCTTCCCCCTGCAGTGGGAGTCCCCTAGTGCAGGTACCGAAAGGGTGGGGGGATGGTAATAAGGCCGGCCTGCACACCCCAAGAGGAAGGCTGTCCTGAGGCAGCTCTGTCCCCAAAGGCAGCACGGGGCAGGCCCCCTGCCACCACCCAGAAGTGCCCAGAGCCCCTGAAGCTGCTCAGGTTCCTGGGGGGACTGGGAGGAGGGGTGAGGGCAGAGCCCTGGAGGAGGACCATCAGTGGACGCTCGCTGCGTAGTTGCTTGCTGCGTAGTTGTGGGATGAGAACGCCGCCCCCAGCGGACTGTGTCCCTACTCATCACCACCCCCAGGGGCGAGTGCCAGCATTCCAGCCATGGCTCCCTCCGCACGCACCCAGCACCCACAGAGGCCGAGCAGGGCCTGACCTCTAAAGGCAGAGGTGGGGGGGGGTGAAGGGAAGCGGGGTGGGGTCCTCCCAGCCTGTGTCGCCTGCTGGGTGGGTGTGGACAGCAGAGGGGACAGGGACACTTCAACACCGTGGGAATCACAGTCACACAGCAAAGCCTGCCTGTCCGCACGGTGCAGGCAAGGAACTGAGGCCCAGGGAGGGGAAGGGACCTGTCCAAGGCCACACAGCACGTGGATGGCAAAGACTTAACTGTGAGCATCAGGGTCGAGCGAGAGACAGACTGCGCCCGCCCCGGCTGCCATCAGAAAGACCACTTCCAAGGGCTGGTGGCCGCCCTGCCCAGGGGGAGGCCAGGGCCCCCTGCACATGGGCGGCCTGTAGCTCCTCCCCCCAGTGCTCCCAGGCAGCGGGGCGGCAGGCAGGCCATACCTGGCCATTCACAACCCGGCCTCCTCCAGCGTGCTCTCTGGCTGGCTCAGCAACTTCCGGCCCTCCTGGCTACCCGTCTTCCAGAGGCGGGACTCTTGCTGTCCCGCCAGAAGCTTCTTCAGCTCGGATTCCACGAAGCCTGAGCAGCCACACACGAGGGAACGAGTGACACAGGAGCCTACACAGTCACTCCTCCATCCGGGTTCCCGGCCGCAGCTCGTGAAGTCTGGGGAACCCCCCCAAGGGTGAGGGCCTGTGTGTGCAGACAGACTGGCTGCGGCTGGCCGCCCCGGGCAGCTTCAGGCTGGGGCTGGGCACCACAAAGAAGCAGGCACAAGCAGAGCGTTGGGACTTTTGGGACTTTCGACCACACCCCCCAGCCTCGGGACAGCAGACGGTTAAGCCCATCACCGAGGACGCTTGATTTAATCATCGAGTCTGCGCAGTGAAGCCTCCACAAACCCCTCACGGGCAGAGCCTGGAAAATGCAGAGCTGGACACGCGGCGGTGCCTGCACAGGGCCTGGGCGCCCCCGTGCCCTTCCTGCGTGCCCGGCTCCCACGACTCTCCGTGATGTCCTTTACAATAAAGTGGCAAATGTAGGCATGATGGCCCCTGCGTTCTGGGAGGCATGGTGGGACCCCGCAACCGGCTCTCAGAGCCCAGGGCTGGGGCGGGCCACTGGGGTCGGTGGAGGGGTGGCCCTGGAGGCCTGGGCCCTCCACCTGTGGGACCTGCGGCTGCCTGCAGGGAGACAGTGCCAGGATATAACTGAACCAAGGACAGACGCAGGTGAACTGGCGGGAAATAATCCCAGGCTCCTCGTGCCGGGGGCCCCGAGTTTGCACAGAGCCTGGGACAAGTGGGGAGTATGGTGGGGCAGCTTGCAGCGAGGGCATCCGAGGGAGAGGTGGCGGCTCTGTCCCCCAGCTCTGGGCAACCCCGGGCCAGCCCTGCTGGAACCCTTTCTTCAGCTCCCTGGAGGCAGTGGGCCTGCCCCAAGCCTGCTCTGTAAACTCATTTTGCGTAGGCCCCCTCCTGCGAAGTGTGAGCGCATCTGCACCTCTGGCGAGAGCGTTCAAGGAGCAGACATGTGTCCCTCCGCCGTCCTCCAGCCACGGAATCCACAGCCCTGACCTGGAGCCCGGACCGCCTGCCCCCAAGTCCAGGCTGTGCCTTTGGACATGTCGTCTGGCCTCATCTGTCTACTGCACGTGCAGTAGACAGGCCCTCCCTCGGAGTGGTAGTCCCGGGAAGGATTTTTATCATATTATTACCGCAAGTCAACTGCGCTCCCGGTCCAGGGCTCCGTCACAGCAGTGCACGATGGGAAAACCAGGGATGAAGGTGGCCGGGGCGGGGAGGGGGTGAAGGGTCCCGCCCCGGCCTCACTGCCTCCCCAACTCTGAGGGGAGGAGGCGAGGACCCAGCGGCTTCCCGCCCAGCCAATGCAGGGCCCCTTGTGGGAGTCATCTTAGGTCCTCTGGTACCATCTGGTGGTGAATTCTGGTGTTACACCCCTTGTGAAGCCCTTGGCCAAAGCCGGGCCCGGGGGTTTGGGGAGGCCTTGGGAGAGAAGGGGTCCAGGCATTTACCCACTGTGTCCGTTGGCTGAAAAGTCTTAGTCATCAGTGACTGCAGGGTGCCAGAGCCTGGGACACACAGCTGCAGTGAGCTATTCTCGTCCTCCATTTCCTCTTCCTCCTCTTCCTCCTCCTCCTCCTCCTGGAGCAGGGCTTCCTTGGAGGGGAAACAGGGCATGCAGGTCCCTAAGCAGGTGATGAGGGCCAGGACCCCCAGCTGCAGCCCCTGGCTCACCCTCCCCAGGTAAACAGGAAGCAGAAGGGGAGGGCTTCGTAAAGGTCAGGAAAGGGGACTACTGCCCACCCCACCCCCACCCCCATCCAAGTCACAGACCCCAGGACCTGCAGCCACCACCTCCCCCGCCCCTTCCCCACCCCTCCCCCACCCCGGCCGCAGACCTTGACCAGGGCTGATTTCTGAAGCTGCTTGTACAAACTGAGGAGGTGGTTCCAGGGGGTCAGCCCCGCCTTGGAAGAGGCCAAGCTGGGGTCTCCTGTGGATAGGGTAGAAGGTCACCGGCAGGGGCACAGCACCTCAGTCAATCCTTGCAACTACCCTGCCGGACAGGACAGGTGCGACACTCTCACCGCCGTGAGGACGCAAGGGGCCGCTGTCACATCCCTGGGGGGGGGGGGGGGGGGGGGATAAGATGGGTGTGTGCCCAATATCCCCACAACCCTTGACCTCAAAGACCTGGAGAAACAGGAGCCGGCCCAGGGGCCTGGGGCCGGCGGGCTCTTGGGGCTGGATTTCACCTGGGAAAGGTGTCTTCTTCCTCTACCAGACGAGGGGAACTCCGGGGGGCTCCCCTGGCCCCAGGGCCCTCTTCGGGGGGGATTTGGCTTTACCTTCCGGACCCCGGGCGAGGAGGCCCCTAAACCCCCCCCCCAGCCAGGGGAGGGGGGAGATGGAGGGCCCGGAGGGAACACCCATTCCTGCGCATGCGCCCTGCCACCACCTCTCCCCTCAGCCCCGTGCTGTGCCTTCCCAGAGCAGGCTGCAGAAGGCAGAGAGCAGAGAGAGGGGTGCCAGGGAGCAAGTGGGGTGCTGGGGGAGAGAGAGCGCCAAGGACAGGGCCTGGCAGAGGGGCTGGGGGCGCTGGGCACCCCGCCTGCCCTGGCTCATTCCCCTCCGGTGTCTAGTGCTCCCTCCGGGACGAAGACAGCTTACACTTGCAGGAGGACCCTGTCCCTGCCCCCAGCCCACTGCCCCCCAACCCCTGATGGCTCCTCCCTGTCCCTGTCCCCTTATCCCTGCCACCCCCCGCCCATTCAGGCGCCCCACTGAGCTCCTTATCCAGCTGGGAACTTGCTTTCTGACGCTTCTCAGCCTGGGTGCCCCCATCCCAGGCCCAGATGCTGCCCCCAGCCCCAGGCCACTGCCCCGCCTGGGGCTCCACAGCCCCTCACCTGTCCCTGGAGGCTGGCTGCTCCTTTTCCCTCCCTTCCTCAGACGGGTTGCCTAGCGCTTCCTGGCTTCCGGTGGGCAGCACTGCCTTTACCTCCACGGCCTGGGCCGGGACCCTCAGGACCTCCTTGGGGTCGGGGGTGTGGACCCGCATGTCGCCCATGTCCAGCCCCAAGGGATCCAGCCAAGGCAGATGGGTGGCGCCCTTGGGTGTGGCCACAGATGGGCTGCCCTGCAGGGTGGCAGGTGGCCCTGCTTCCCTCCTTCCGCAGCCAAGCATCAGGGAGCTGACCCCGAGCTGTGGTACCAGCGCCTGGCCAGGGCTCTTCCGGCTGTCCCTGCTCCTAGCCAAACTATGGAAAAAGCAGAACATGGAAGAGTGGTCCAAAATCCGCGGGCGAGGGGTCGGAGCTGGGGCCTCCATCCTGAGAGCGGAGCCTCTCAGAGCGAGGGTCAAGGCAGCCACCCCAGGACCAACTGCTGAAGAACAGGAGTTTTGAAATTAAACCTCCAGTTGGAAACTTCCGGGAGTTCCAGAAGGCACAGAGCAGATGGGGTGGGGGTGGGGAGGAGTTAAAGGCAGAGGCCTGGCCGGCTGCTGCTTCTTGGGGCTGCAGGAGTCCCGGGAGGCGGCGGAGAGGGACCAGGACTGAGACCAGGGGCTGCGGGGACCCTGCCCCCTTCTGTCCTGCGGAACATTCCCGCAGCCAGACAGCACCTGCCCTCCCTCCCCTCTCCTCACTCACTGAGGATTTAACAATTTTTATCTTATCTGAAAGGCAGCCAGACAGAGAGAGACATCTTGCACCTGCTGGTTCACTCCCCAAATGCCCACAACAGGTAGGGCTGGGCCAGGCTGAATGAAGGAGCCTGGAGCTCCATCCAGATCTCCCACATGGATGGCAGCCCTCACCCGGTGCCTCCAGGGTGCACACTAGCAGGAAACTGTTATAGGAAGTGGAGCTGGGACTTGAACCTGGCACTCAGATACAGGATGCAGGCGTCCTGAGCAGCAGCTTCTTCACTGGGCCAAATGCCTGTCCCCACCATGGAGTTTGTTGATGTTGTTGCTTTTAAAGATGCGTTGATTTATTTAAAAGGCAAAGCTACAGAGTGAGAGGGAGACTCAGAGAGAGAGCTTCCATCCGCTGGTTCTCTCCCCCAACCACTGCAACAGCCAGGGCTGGGCCAGGCCAAGGCCAGGTCTCCCACGTGGGTGCAGGGGCCCAAGCACTTGGGCCATCTTTTGTTGCATCCCCCCCGGGGCACATTAGCAGGGAGCTGGATGGGAAGTGGAGCAGCCGGGACTCAAACCCGTGCTCCCGTGTGGGATGCCAATATTGCAGGTGACAGCTTAGCCTGCTGCAGCCATAATGCTGGGCCTCTGATCTGTGCTGCTCTGCCTGCCGACTTCAGGATTTCCAATCTCCAGACACCACCGAGGTGCCTGGCGCGTTGATCTGAATTACAGGTGGAATCTCAATTCAGTATTATCACTCTCCACCTACGGATGTGATTATCAATCAGCTCAGTGATTCTGTAAACCAGCTGGGGCTTGATTTGCTCATCTGTAAAATGGGTGTAGTCCATGGCACCTACTTCCAGGGGCTGTTGAGAAGGTCCTGGTTGACTGGATCCACAAGACCAAGGTTGCTAAAGTGCATGGGCTGCAGCAGTTGGAGCTTAAGAAACTTGGGCACCCTGTGTCTTTATCGGTACGCATGGAAGGAAGTGAGAAAGATCAAGGTCGAGGTGGGTTGGCAGTCGGGGAGGGTGAGGGAGAGCTGCCGCCTCTCCCGCTCGCCCGCGCCGCCCCTGGGCTCAGCCAGCCCCGGCCTTCCCGCTCTGGGCTCCAGGCCTGTGCCTCGGCATCCGGCGGCCGCCCAGCGACTTCCTCTAGAGGGAGCTGATTGCGGCCGGGAGCAGCCGGCACCTCTATGATCGTCCGAGCCGTGAGGGTCCCTCGGGCCGTGCCGGGACCAGCAGAGGCTGCATCCGGCCGCCCGGAACACTGACGCCTGTTCCTGGAAGCTGGGACCCGCCTGACCTCGAGAGGACCCATGGCCTCGGCCTGAGTGTGGGCAGGTAAGCTGGGAGAGCCCCTCCACGCTCCCTAATCCAGCAGCCCCGGCTCCAGGGTGGGGCAGAGAGCCCTCCAGGAGGGTGCTGGGGAGTGGGGGGTGGGGGAAGGCCTTAAGGTTTGCCTGGCAGTTCCTCCGACCCCTGCAGGGGACTGCTTTTGCTGGGGCTCCCTGTAGCTTGGTCTCCCCCCACCCCCCAGCTTCCCCTCTGGCCCTGGCCCCAGGATGACCAAGAACTGGGGCGTTTAGCCATCCAGGGGATGGAAGTGGGGGTCAGAGCCTAGGTCAAGGGCAGGGAGAGAACTTTCGGTTTTCCATGCTCCCCCACCCCCACCCCACTCCGGCCAGCCAGGCCGATCTCCCTGGGGACATCCATCCCAGGCCCAGCAGATTGGGGGTGCTGGGGATGGTGTCCCCTTAGGTGAGGTGAGGCCACTTGCCTGGGCTGGTGGGGGCTGTTCTGAGGCTCTGCCTGCTTACTAGCAGTGAGCCCCTGGGGAGGTGCTGGAGGGGCTGGGGGTGCGGTCAGCATCCTCTGGCCGTGCTGTCTTGGGGGTGCTGGGATCTGGGGAGCAGGGGGAAGGAGCTGCTTGGGGAGGGTGTGTGCCAGGCCAAGGTCTATTTTAATGAGTCTGGCTGCCGTAGCCTATCCCACCCCTAAGAAGGTGAGGGTGGGGTGCAGAGACACACAGGTGGCCCCCACCCCTTCTCAGAGAGCCCCTGGAGAGCTTGAAAAGAAGGTGGGGGGTGTTCCCAGGCTCAGGAGGGGTGGGGTCCGGGCTCGGCTGCACCCTCTGCAGGCCAAGGAGGGGGCGCTTCCTTCCTGCTGATGGAGGCAACTTTGGGGAAACTGGGCTCCGCAAGGGGTGCAAAGTGAAAGTGAAACAACTGACATCCAGGAAACACTCCCTCTGCCCAGGGCACCGGCAGATCGGCGCTGCGGCCGGGACGAGGCGAAGAGGGAAACCGAGCCGGGACAGGAGAGCAGGTGTGAGGCCAGGTTAGAGGCGTGGGCTGGGGTACACGGTGTGAGGCCAGGGTACGAGGTGTGGGGCCTGGGTACAAGGCGTGGTGGGGCTGGGGTATAAGGCGTGGGACTGGGGTATGAGGCCTGAGCCTGGGTAGGAGGCATGGGGCTGGGGTAGGAGTCCTGGGGCCTGGGAATGAGGTGTGGGGCCAGAGTATGAGGCTTGGGCCTGGGTGTGAGGTGTGGGGCCGGGGTATGAGGCCTGGGGCCTGGGTACGAGACGTGAGGCCAGGGTTCCAGGTGTGGGGCCAGGGTGTGCGGTGTGGCCTGGGGTACACAATGTGAGCACTGGGTACAAGCTGTGCAGTCTGTGTATGCGGCCTGGGGCCAGCAGGCAGGGAGTAGATGGGGAGAAAGGCCGGCTGACAGAGTATGACTCTTAGATCAGTTTTGAGTTCATGGACCCCTGAACATTCACACAGCCAGTCAGCCTGGCTGATTAGCCTCCTGGCCTCAGGCGCTAATCTCTGCGTGCCTCACCTTTCCCATCTGTAAAATGGGTACGGTGGTGCTTACCTCACTGAGTCAATGTGTGTTTTCAACACTCAAGGCCTGGGCAGTGCTCCAAGGTGGCAGAGTACACCATAGGCTCTCGGGAGACAGCTAACAGGCCTGAGCTGGGGAACAGCTGTGTTCTGGCCTGCTAAGGGGAAGTAAGGCCTTCGTGGGTGATTGGCCGGGGCGGCAGGCTGCGGTAGGCGTGTGCTGTGGGTGCCGCAGGCCCTGGGCTGCTCTGAAGCTAACATGTGCAGTGGCACAGCTGTGGCCACGCCCTCCCAGAGGCCCCAGCAGCTGGTCGCAGACCATGTGTGCGGATCCCTGAGTGTGTCCCCAGCTGCCTCCCCTTGGCGACCCCAGCTCCCTTGCAGGGTTGCCAGTGATTGCTCCAGGAGTGCCCATTCCACCGGGACCCGAGGTGGTGGGAAGAGAAGTGCCGGCGACGGTGTTCGGCGGCAGGGAAGCGCTGCCTGGGACACCCACACCGGCAGTGCCTGGGTCTGGGTGCTGGCTCTGCTTCCCATCCCAGCGGCCCGCTAATGTGCACCCTGGGGGGCAGCAGGGGATGGCTCAAGCACCCAGGGGGCTCCCACCCATGTGGAAGGCTAGGATGGAGTTCCTGGCTGGCCTGGCCCGGCCCTGACTACCATGGACATTTGGGGAGTGAACCAGCAGGTAGGAGAGCTCTGTCTGTGTTTCTCTTTCTGTATTAATTTTTTTTTAAGATTTACTTATTTATTTGAAAGTCAGAATTACACAGAGAGAGAAGGAGAGACAGAGAAAGAGAGAGGGGTCCTCCATCTGCTGGTTCATTCCCCAGTTGGCCACAACGTCCAGAGCCGTCCGATCCGAAGCCAGGAGCTCCCTCCGGGTCTCCCACATGAGTGCAGGGGCTCAAGGACTTGGGCCATCTTCTGCTTTCCCAGACCACAGCAAAGAGCTGGATTGGAAGTGGAGCAGCCGGGACACGAACCGATGCTCATATGGGATGCCCGCACTGCAGGCGGCGGCTTTACCCGCTACGCCACAGTGCTGGCCCTGCTCTACTTCTGCTCCGGCTCCCTGCTAATGTGCCTGGGAAAGCAGTGGCTGATGCTCCAAGTGCTTGGGGCCCTGCACCCACTTGAGAGACCCAGATGGAGCCCCTGGCTCCTGGCTTCATCCTGGCCCAGACCTGGCTGCTTGGAGACTGAACCAGTGGATGGAAGATTAATCTCTCTGCCTTAAATTGAAAGAAAAAAAGAGAAAGAGAAAGAAAGCCCAGAAGACTGGGGGTCTCCGTGGGAATGGGGGCCCTCCAGCCTGCTCGGGAGGCCCTCTCTGGGCTGCCTGGTCAGGCCCCTGCCTGTGCCCATCTCTGTTTTTTCTCCCCATCCCCACAGGCTGACCGTGTCCTCCACTGAGGCCTGAACAAGATGGCATCCGGGCAAGGCCCAGGTCCTCCTGGCGAAGGCTGTGGAGAGCCTCCCGAGCCCTCCACTTCTGGTAAGGGTCTCCTGCCCCCACCCCCCAGCCATGGGGGCCGTCCCGAGGGTGGAGCGGGCAGAGGTGGACAGGGCCAAGCCGGACACAGGGGTGCACTGTGCTGCCTGGGTGCAGCTCCTCTGGATGAAGGCGACATCTTTGTACCCAAGGCCCACGGGTGCAGAAGGCAGGAGCTGCGAGCCAGGCTAGGCGCTTGGCGTGGGCAGGGCGGAGCCTGGGCGGGCTGGGTGCCAGCAAGAAGGCTGTGAGGTCAGAGGAAGGGGTGGTTCTACCATCCCCGCTTCCCTGTGGGAGGAGAAATCAGGAAGCTGGGGCGCTTATCAGCCAGGCAGGTCTGCAGGACAGGGAGCGAATGTTGTGCCTGGGGAGGAATGAGATGGCGCCCGCCTTTCGCCTTCCGCCTTCCCCTTTCTGAGCCTATGGCCAGGGAAGCCCAGAGTACAGCCTGCAGCAGGCAAGGGCTGGGCATCCCGTGCACACCAAAACACTGAGGAGCCCAGATGCTGGCTTCACACCTGGGCTCCGCCGCTCGCTCCTGCAGTGGGACCCTGTGCAGGTCACGGGGGTGCCCTCCTCCCTGGGGCTCCTGACAGCCAAGGGGCAA